AAGAGATCTGACGGAGGGGGATGATGTCCTCCCCACAAAAAGAGGTTCTGTGAGTGCAGCTAAGTTTGACAGGAGTCCGTTTCGTAGCACAGACAGACACGAGGCTATAAACCGGAGTTGTGCAGGTTCGGGATGGGGTAGAATTTCGGAGACTCGACTCTGGGTGGTCGGGTTAAGGCATTCGGATTCGCCGCTAAATCTTGAAGAAGACCTCCTGCTCCTGGAGCTTCCGTGTGAAACTCCTCCCTCTAAACGCCTGCAGGGGGAAAGCAGATCCAAACAACTTAGTCAGCCGCTTTGAAGATTACTTGGACCATTCATTCCAGTATGAACTGCAGAGAGATTTATAAGAAGATAAGTTCTGAAGTCAAAGAGTAAAATGGATATTAAATATACCGTTCTTCTGGGTCTCAGCTTCTCTCTCCACCTCCTTTATCTCTTGGCTTGTGCTCCCTCATTCCAGCTCCTTCAGTTCTGGGTCTCATGTTCAATCAGTAGGTGGCATTTCTCATTCTGTAAGAAAATGTGGGTTAAAACAGCCGCCGTTCCAGGATTAATGAATAACATCCCTGTACTCCTGACGGCTTACTAGCGTCTGCCACCTGGAAATATAGTAAAGAGGTATCAACCCTAAAAAATGTTTTTTTTTTTTTAGCTGTAAACTAAACTATCACATCAATGCTGGTGTTAATATTAACATTCTTACTAAAGTTATAAAACCAGCCTCTTGGTGGGTTGAAAAAGGCTCGACACAACCCCGTTTTTTAAGTCCACTCTGAACCTTGTAAGGCCAATACTGAAGAGTTTACCGTTTGGGGCTAACTTATGTTGTGACATTTATATAAAAAAAGAGTTACCGTTTACTCCTCTAATCAGAGGAGGCCGGCCCAACCTCCCCAGCCTCGCTTTGAGTCTCGTGAAACCGCTGTGCTCATTTTAAAATGCGTACTGATTGAGACGCAGCATTCATAGGAGTTTATGCTCATTTTTTCTAATGTCTCCTTGTTATTTTTGTATTTTGGTGCAGTGGTTTGGACTTGTGCTCACTCACTGTTGTTTGCAGGTCTGTGAAGCATTTCTAAAATTTGCTGTGAAGGAGGGAGCTATCCGAATTCAAGGTGTAGTTACACTTTTCTGCTGATCCTTCTACAGCCCCAGTCCACTACTGATAATCTAGGTTATTAAAGCTTGTTCTCCTGTTGCATCCATTCCAAGTCACCATACATGAGCAAGCAAGCTCAATGGTAAAAGTGGTGGTTTAAAACATGTAAACAGATAAAGAAATGTGTGCGTGCTTGTGGCCCCACCTGTAGCTGCTGCAGCTCCCTGATGTTTGAGTCACACTGCAGCTGCAGATCTCTCATCTGGTTCTCGTGTTTCTGGTGTTGGTGGAGCCTCTCGTTCTTCTGCCTCTTTTCTTCCTGAGAAGCAAACTGGACCAAAAAACAAGAGACCACTGTAACGTAATCTGCACCACATTAAGGTATTACGTGATTTGTCTTTTTTGCAGAACGGTGGCGTGCTCATGCTTCAGGCGGTGTTACCGGTTTCTGCTTTGCACAGATCTGTTTGTGTCAGGCAACCCTACTGTTTACTGACTAACACTTTCTGTTTGAGAGTTCCTCCACAACAAAACTTAATTGAAACAACATTTTGAGAATGATGGAGCCAGTGAAGCTTGTGAAATGGAGACAGGAATGTTGCTGGTTTGAGATCCAGACAGGCAGGGATTATTGAGAGTACTGTGTTTGTATGGGGCAGATTCTAGGTGTGACCGTATGCCCGAGCAACATAGGGTTGCTAAAAAAAAAAGACCATGCATGTCCAAGTCCATAAACATGACAAGCAGATATTGTGAAACAACCACAGCGTCTGTACCTGTTTTATCCGCTCTCTCTCCTGCTCCGGGGTGACGGATGCTGTGGCGGTGATGCGGAGGCTCTTCTTGAACATGGCCATGCGGGTCTTGGCCTCGCTGCGCTGAATCTTGGGCAGACGAACCCTCTCTTGAGTCTGTTTGTTCTTCATCTCCTCTATCAACCGCTGGTTGTAGCGGTGCATCTGCTCCATTTCCTATAAAATACACACATGCAAGTGTTCAGCAGGCATATTTGAATAATAGAGCACATTTCTCTCTGAGAAGATTTCTCTTACTTTCTCATGTCTCTTCAGCAGCTGGTGTCTCTGCAGGAAGTACTGGTCTTTCAGCTGCTGCTTCAGCTGCTGGTGCTTCTCCTGCAGGTGGCGCTCCTCCAACTCCCACATGGCTGCCTCTCGAGCTAAAAAACACACACACATAAACATGTCATGTTTTAATGTCACACAAGTATGAGTTAGCAGTTAACATGTACCTGCATGTTAGCCGGTGACGAGTGATACAGAAGGGCAATACTGGCAGCAAGTCAGACAGGTTGTAACATGTTTTCCCAAACAGCACGTCTGTATTCTCATCTGTCTGCATGTCACACTCAGTAGTGAAGTCACTGACACACACACACACACACACTCTCTGTTACTAGTTGAAATTGAGTCAAATGTAAAAAAAAAAACAAAAAAAAAAACCTTTCAAGTTGTTTTCATGTCTGTTCTAAAAATGAGCTTAGAGACTTGAAACTTGCACAGGATGCTTGATGCTTGAGAGATAATCAGTCACATCATGTTGCCTGTTTTGTCAAATGTACTAGTAATGTGATCTAAGCAGGGATTGATAACAAGTGTGCTGGTGTGGTGCCTGTGTGTTGGCAGGAAACCAGAACCAGAAGTGTGACCACATTTTTCACCAGCACGATTAGAACAAAACAGCTTCAGATCAAATGCTTTTGTTGTATGGTTTTTATATCACACTGAAATAAATTACAGTTAACTCTAACAGGAAATGCACATTCATATATGACAGTATACTCTGGAGGTGGTGAGCAGTAATGTTAAGATGTGACTTTGCAGTAAAAGGGCTGATTTCATCTGTCAAGTAGTTCTTCCTCCATTTCCTACCTCTCATCAGTTGCTGCTTGTGGTTGAGGCAGTCTTTCTCAATAGTGGTGATCTCCAGTTTATGCTGCTGAATGATTTTCTTTAGAGCTCCATCCAGCTCTTGCTGCTGCTTCTGTAGGAACTCCTGCTCCTGAGGCGCCAGAGAGAGGAAGAGCAGTGAGAAACAGCCAGAGGAAGCCGTCATGCAGAGGGACAGCCAAGAGCAGAGAGAGACAGCACAATAAAATGTCACGGTACGAATGCATCGTAGTATGAAAACTGCCTAAAATGATATAATCTAGTCAAGTCAACCACTTCAAGTTCAGTACGACACAGAGCACTAAAGAAGTCACATCATCAACTGGAATCAGAAGAGAAGACACTCAGAGATCATGGATGGCAACGATCCACAATGGAGGTGAAGAGAGAAAGAAAGAAAAGTTAACAGTTCAGTAAAGTTTCAGATTCAGTTTTATGTAAGACAACATCGATACTGACGCTCACACTGTCCAGAGCAGAGCCTACATTATGCATGACTTATTACAGAACCAGCCAGAGTCGTCTATTCATTTAAATTTCTTTTCTAACTTTCCACATAATTTAAAAAGACGTAATAATCTATTCTTTAGCTGTCTAATCCGTCGCTGGTGGCAAATTGTAGGTTATGTGCTGCCATTACTTAACTACGATTAAGCATGTTCGATTATATAATTACACAGAATTCACTTTACCTATAGAAAAATTGACAAGCGTTGTTATTACACTGCTGAATCCAAATTAAACGGGTTAAGATGTGATACCGTAACCTAATTGTGCACAATACAAGTGACTTTTACATCCATCCTGTAAGGCAGTCAGTCTATTTGGACCTTGGCTGACAGAAACAAACATGGATCCAGACAGAAGGGGATCAACAACAACAACAACAACAACACCACCTCTGGGAAAGAGTGCTGTACAGGTTTACTCCCAGGCTCAACCTAGTCTGATGCAAACGATGTAATACAGCATAAATACCACATAAATATAGAGACTAGATGTAGAACATTTGTGGATTGGTGAGGGAAAATACTGAGCAGGAGAGGAAGAGAGAACCACTGCACAAACACAGTGATGACAACACTCAAAAAAAACCACAACACTGCCCATGCTTATATGTGTCGTTCTTTTAAACTAAAACTATCCTGTCACCTCACACACCTTCGCTCACATCTAAGTATGGGCCAGAGACGGAAAGAAACAGAGCAGGTAGGGTGGGGGGACTTACATCCTGCATCTGAGCGTTGAAGAGTGCGCATGAGGACAACTGAAAAGACTGTATCATAACCTGGGCCACTGCCTGCGGAGGAGAGCAAACAGCGCACTCGCCCTGATCAGGGACACACAGCACACAGCAAGCTGAGGATTTCTTTCTCTCTCTCACACACACACACACAGACACTGATTCTTCTTAAGTTATGTAAGAGATGGCCCTTTCCTACTTTGGGAATATCGGTGAGTTTAAGGCGCACAGCGAAAGTCACTTATTAGTTATTAATACTCTTTCCATGCTTGAAAGTGGCTCATAATTCCAGCACTTGAGTTTAATCCAGCTTGCGGAAGAGGGGCTGTGTTACTTTCCATGCTTACTGGCTGATGGAGTGTTAATAATCAGAGTTACCTTTAAAAGAAAAGAAGGCCTTTGTCCGCATGACTCATGTCTAATTCATAAAAGATGCACAGGAAAACAGGAAAGTTTGGAAAGGGCTTTCAGTACAGAGGTCTACTGTGGAAACAATAGCTGTGTCTGCAATTGCTCTGTCCTTCATTAATTCACTGTTCACCACACGGTAAACACTCTATGGTGAGTGGTAACACGAGAGCTTCACCACCGACAAGTGTACCGTGACATAAGTGTCATTTTCACATCAGTAATCTCAGCATTAAAAAGGGGAAGAATTGCATTGTGGGATGTTTTGGTTAACAGTAGTATACATGCTCCATTGTGGGCTTTTTTTTAAAGGATCAAATCTGTGGTTTTAGCTTTGTTAGGGCTGCAACTAACAACTTTTATTACAAGAGATTATTCTTCTGATTATTTTCTGATCTATGAACTGTCAGTAATTAGTTAAATGTCTACCACGATGTCTTGTTTAAACAGTTAAAACCCCAATGATGTTCACTTTACTATCAGAGAGGACTAAGTATAATATAATAAATATTATTATTATTATTATTATACCATTACAGTGCACTAGATAGCAAAAAGAGAGCGATTAGAGACACAGCGATTCTTTGTTTGTGTGAATATGAATGAATGAGGTTTAAAAGGAGAGAGGGAAAAGGAGAAAAAGAGAGAAAGAGCAATCTCACTCTTTCACAGAGTAAGAGACAGCGAGTGATGGTTTACCTCTGCAGTCTTAAGGAGCGATAGGTCCTCCTTTACGCGTTTCATGAGCTCTTTTCTCATATGTTTGGGTGACTGTCCAACTTCCTGTTTGGCCTAAAGTGTGTGTGCACAAACTGGTTGATGGTATATTCTGAAAATCTAACAAAGCTGGCCAACAACAGTAGAAGACATGCACGGCCCACTTTGAGAGAAGAGATACTGCATCTAGCCACCGACTGATTGGAAGTCAACATGCGTAATTCCCATGGCCTGACTATGACGCTCCTTTGAAACAGTCAGTCAGTCGTTTGATTAGTAGTTTTTCAGAGCACTTCAGAGATGGAAGTTTGAACTGCACCAGTTAGAGTTAAGTCAAAGAAATATTTGACTGCTACATGGCAGAAGATGTTAGTCACAAAATCAGCTCCCTCTGTATCTCTTTGCATTCAATTAAGTCCCACAGCCATCAAGATGATTAGTTTGCCTCTAGAAATTAAAAAACAGTAACTGAGCTGGAATCATCTCGTCTCTCATTTTGTAACTGCACATTACCAAATATTAAACGGTTCTTGTTGGTTTCTACGTGCTGTAAAAGAACACCGATCACACCTGGAGCTAAGAAATCTTCTGCACCACGTCTTAAGCTCTTTGGTGAAAATTAAATACTTTGAAAAACGTTCACATGTAATACCTTACCGGGTGCTCTTTCACCCACTTCAGATGTGTGGACGATGCAGACTGTTCATAGACTACAGCTCAGCATTTAACACCATTGAGCTACTGTGCAGTCTGTGTATGGGTAGATTAGCTTTAAAAGAGAGGCCACAAACAGTGAGAGGGGGAAATAACCTCCACTATGATTGTAAACATTGCTGTCCCAGTCTAAGGCACAACAAGCTACTTTTTTTCTCGGATGCCTTAAGAGATTAAGTACGTCTACAAAAATGTTTTTTCATTGTATGAGGCACAGCTGACCTTTTTTAATACATGTAACAATAAATTCCTTGATTCCTTAAATATTAACGTTAAAGATGACTCCATATCAGTTACTCTGACTCTTTCATTATTTCCCCAAATGAGCCCAACACCACTCATAAACAAATCTTCAAAAGTCGGCCATCCCATGACCAAAGCCACCTCACACACTCATACAAGAGACATGGTTAGTTAAATACACAATCACAGTACATTTTGAATAAGAAATACAACAGAAAAAATACACATTTTTTATCAATAAGTAATAGCTTATATTTTTGCAGCTGAACAACCACAACAAAGTACAAAACTGAGGGCTGAAGCAACCACTTTTAAGCTCACCTGCACAATGAAAATCCTTTAAGTGGCCCAGAAAGCAAATTGCGAGCAACAACCACCAAGGCATCGTATTGCACAATGAATGCCAATCGGCACTATTGCCGTAAAAGAGCTGCATAAAGCAAAAAACATAAAAACTGCGAGCGTACCCAAAACATCCAACAAAGCATTTACGGCTGCCAAGCAGAGGAGCGGTAGTAAATATCCAGCATGTTTTTGTAAGAAGCCCTGCACACCTTCACGATAAGGTTTTATGCTTAGCCTGAAACCGAACTTTTATTAATCGTTCTCTAAAAATAGACTCAGCAGCACGTTGCTTAGGAGGCAATCAGAAGCCTCAGGGCTGATAAATAATGAATACAACAACATGGAGCTAGCAGCATCTAGGAATGATAGAACAGTGTGTGTGTTGCTATCATTTGCACACATATAGTACCCAAGCAGAACAGCAAGACACACCACTCCCATAGGATTAATATGACACAGCCAAGTATGCCACCGGCTAAGTTGCTAAACACATGCACCATTAAACAGCTCGTATCTATGACATGCAAATGCTTATGGCCCCCAGGCTACCCCAGTTAAGAGCTAATCGGCCCACTAAAGGCACTTCCATGCACAAACAGTCATGCATGGCCATACCTCTTTCTTCCGGTTCTTCAGCATGTTTTGGAACTTGGAGAGCTCCTTGTCTTGATCCGCTTTGATGCGTTTGGCTTCGTCTCGGAGCCGGCTGGTGTGATCCTGTTCCAGGCGCTCAATGGTCTGCTTCTGCTTCTTCTCAAGATTCTCCACTTCTTGGTCGTATTGACGCTTCTTAGCCTGCACAGAAAGAATCAGAGACAGTGGCTTCAGCATGACAACATGGCTATATGTGTTTATAAGTTATTAAATATTATAAGATTATATAGTTTTAAGCCTTTATTGCTTAGGAGGGAGGGGAAGATTAACTGTAAAATATATTAATATGGTGTTATTTCAACCTGACTATAAGAGAATCTGCACATTATGGTAGAAATGATGAATGAGTGCATGACAAGTGATAGAGACTACATGCTTCATGTGCGTCCCTCTGTCAGATTTAGATCAACTTTGAAGCAGCTTGTTTCCTGGGAGTCGGCCAAATGAGAAAAACACAGCACCACTGCGATACGAACACACTGACTCACAGTAGTTTCCTGTTCAAAGCGCCGGTAGATCTGCTCTCTCTGCTGCTGCAGCTTGTTGCTCAGCTGCTGCTGGGCCCTTTGCTCCTCTTTCTGGAGGAGGCGCAGCTCTCTCAACTCCTGCCGCCTGAGGAAACCACACACACAGCAGTGCAGTCAGGGTGCCACCACATTCAATTACTTCATATTCAATTGTTTCTCATTGATGAGATTTAATTCACAAAACAAGCTATTTTTTTTATTTCTGAGATGGAATTTTATGGTTTGTTTCATTTCCTAGTTATGTTCACTTTCAAATTTATTACAATATTAATCTCCCTTTAATATTTAATAGAATACTATTATTTTCCTGCTTTGTGAATCAGTAGTTCATATTTTGATATATGTTCACTCTGTGCATTACTGACATAAAGTCATGAACCCAACAGCACGTCAGACAGCACTTGTATAAACATTTGGAGCAGCATGTCTCAGGTCTTTAAAAGGCAACATGTGAGATGACAGTAACATAATGCAGCATTCATCACGGGAGATAACCCATCTGGCATTTGTAAAAAGCTGTGGGAGTTGTGAAGTGAACGAGAACTATTTAAGGCAGGCATGTTAAATAGGCCATGTCACATATTTAGACCCACAGTATGGTAAGCAGACTGAATGCAGACGTACCTTAGGAACCTCATCTCCTCGCTCTTTGTGTCATTATCCGTCACTATCTTTGACGTTGTCACACTGACCTCCACACCGTCCACCATGAACTTACGCGTCTTCTTCAGAGTCTTCTTTTGACGTTTTGACTCCTACAAATGAAACAGGGATGTTTTTGTGGCTTAAATGATCGAAATAGTGTTGATAATTTAACTGAGGCTGTGAAAGAGAAACGCATTATTATTATTATTATCATTATTATTATTATATTACCTGCATGGACACAGAGCCCCCTTCTTTGCTCTTGGACAGGAAGCTGGAGATGGACAGATTGAGGTCAAGACTGTTGCTATCAGCAGCAGAGCTGCTTCCAGAGTCAGAGTCCTTCTCCACATCTGGCTTGATCACAGCAGGGCTTCCATGTTCGATCTTGCTTTCTGAGTCTGTTTCACTCTCTGGGACAGAGACAGCATCTTGGGAAACGCTCTCATCTGCACAAGTGGCTTTATCCTCATCTTCCTTCACAGGGACATCTTTACACGGGACCACTTCTTCTAAATCCTCAGAGGTGTCTTTGGCTTCATCACTGACTCCATTTGTGGATTCAGTTGGTGCCTGTACCTCCACTTCATCCTTGTGGGGATGACTGTCCTGCTCTGGCTGCTCTGCCTCCTCAGGGACTTTATCCTCAGGCTTCTCCTCTGGCTGACTTTCTATGGCTTCCTTCTCCAACACAACCTCAGCGAGGGACTCGTCTACACTTGACTTTGTGTCTGTGACTCCATTTATATTTGTGCCTATTACATTTGATTCTATATTCTCTGTGTCTATGTTTACAACTGTGTCTTTAGCTGTGTCTTCTATTCTCTCTTCTGTAACACACTGATGCATCTCCTCATCTGGTTCTTTGTTTTCTTCTTCTACTTGTGCCACTTCTCCTCGTATGGATTCTGGTTCTTCTGGTGCATCTTCAGGTTGCTCTTGTGACTCTTTGGATTCTTCTGTACTTACTTGTTTTTCTTCTTCTTCTTTCACCTCCTCTGCCTCTATTGCTTCTTCTATTACTTGGGTAGGTTCATCCTTCTTTTTCCCTTCTTGCGTCTCCTTCTGTTCCTCCTCTGTTTCTTGACCGTCTGTGACAAGTTCTTGGGTATCCGCTGTATCTACAGGCTCTTCTGGCTGCGACACTACAGGAATCTCCAAAGCCTGACCATCTTCTGGTTTAGGCTCTGGATCTTGTGAGATCACGTCCTTGGAGGGCTCTATTAGCCCAGGTGCCAGGTCTTCATTACTGACATCAGACACCTCATTGATTTTTTCCTCCTCTGTCTTGTCTACTTCACTTGTTCCAAGTCCTTCATCAGAGAGCTTATCACTGATCCGGTCCTCAGCGGGCTCGGCCTCTGTCTTTTCTGTAACAGATTCCAGTGTGGAGGGAGTTGGTGGGACTTTGTCATCCTCTGAGCTGGCCACGCTGGCATCTGAAGGGGCACGCTTGTGGCCAGGAGCCGCCTGAGCCAACAGTTAGAGAAATCACAACATCATCACACATCAGTGAGTGATAGAAAAGGATAGAAAAAATATGATACTAGGTATATATGTATATATATATATACACCAATAAAACTACATACCACAGGTGTATCAGGCTCTTCCTCCTCCTCCTCCTCTTTGCTATCCTCAATCTCCTCTGTGACTTCAGCTTTGGCCTCTGCGATGAGCTCTCTGAGAGGTCTGCTATCAGTCACACTGGTGACAAAAGGATGCTACATAGATGGACAGGGACACAAGACATCAACATGAAATAAAAATCTTTATCCTTCACCAACTGTCAGGCTTAATCAAATCTAAGAACAAACAAAGAAAATATGACAGATTCTTTTTTTATTCAGGCCAGTAGCAACATGTGCCTCCGGTCTTCATGGGTTAAGTGTGTATGCATTCTTTGGGTTAATTTGTAAGCTGCGTAGATGGTTATGTACTGAGAGAGATAACAGCAGGGCCGCTCACCTGTAGCAGCTGTACTGGACTCCACCTATTGTCCACATTCTTATCAAGGGCTTTCCGCAGAAAGTCGTTGAATTCTGGCGACCTTACAAGAATAAACAAAAAAGGAATCAGTTTGCTGACCACAGACCAGAGTAAGTGTCCCTAGGTCCTGCTTTGAGGGAATAAAATGAATACCCCCGCTTCCCCCCGTGGCCATTCAGTTGAGTATTAACAATTCACCAAGCTTTCACACATTAAACAGTCAACATATCTAGTCCGGAAGCATTCCAGTGCCACCTCTCTAGTTATCACCAGCACACAATCTCACCAGCGAGAGGGATGCATGAGTGTGGGCGGCTCGGACTTGGCTATTTTCAGCAGCACTCTCATGGGATTCATCTCGTGGTTAGGTGGCTCAATCTGCGCCAGCTCTATCAGGGTTACCCCGAGGGACCAGATGTCGGCCTTGTAGTCGTACGGACGGTCCTTGGAAGTTTCGCACATTACCACCTCTGGGGCCATCCTGCAAAATTAGAAGTGGGTTTGCATTAAGCTAATTCCACTGCAAGTTAATGTATGCATTCAGGCATGTTGCTTGATATCTTTGTGAACCACAAAGGTCAAATGAATGATGAAAAAATAAAATGAAATAGTATGTGTGGGCAATTCGGTCTGGAATTTAAAAGATAGGAAGCCTATTTAAAGTTGAGGTCATCCAACACTTGAGTGCATCCAAAATGCTGAATGAGGCCTTTTCTATTATCACACATTCATGACAGCTTTTTGTGCCGCCGCATAGACAAATAATCACCCCTAGCTGTGGGACACGCTAAGACAATTATCTGATGGAAAAGGGTGAAAGCCCTCTTCTATGCAGGCTGTATGACTCACCAATACGGAGTGCCGATGAAAGAATCTCTTCTCTGTAACGTCTTGGTATTTTTAGCAGACACCCCAAAATCAGCTGAAAGTAGAAAATAATTACGACCCTTTTCATCAGTGCATCAAACTAAACAGTGACATTTTCTGTACTGCGAATCCTTCAAAGATATAAAACAACATCACATCACATTTTTTGCTTAACTAACCTGCTCCAAGCTTTTACATATGACCCCTATACGTAGACAGAAAAGCCTCAATCTCCCTTTCATAATGCTTGTAAGGTCCATCATCACTCCGAGCAGTATTGTCACCTGTGCAACTATTTCAGCCCGCTCTCTTGTAATGTACACACTGGAGGGAAAGAGAGATCTATCATTAAGTCCCTGGTGACTGCTTGATAATTATTGTTTGCCAGGCTGCGTCCTGACCCTCTGCCTACATGAACATGAATCATCAGGGAGCCAGCAGCTATGGATGCTACAGCAGCAACATTTACTTCTGGAATATTATGTAACAAGTTCAACGAATCACCAACTCCAAAGCATAAGTGGTGTATAAAAAATATTCTCTCCTTTAGGGCTACAGAAAACACATCTTTTTGTTTGACTCATTCCAGTTTTATCATACGTAAACACTGTGTTGTGCACTTGTCACCACTATCCCCGAGGTCAAATTGCTCAGCTGGTTGCCACAACACTGATGGCGAAGGGATCCACAACTGACTTTATTAATTAGCTTTTTAAGCCTATTAGTGTTGGCCCTACAGGAGGGTTCAGGATGGCCACCAAGGGCATTTATCTGAGAGAGAAATCAACAATGAATCAGCTATTGTTCTGTGTAGTACTCTAAAGTGAGTAAGTGTGCTTAGCTGGACCGTGAGTGATCTTTTCCTGAATAATCCTTCACATTTACTAAAATATTGCAACAGCTAAAAGGTTAAGATATTCACCCAGTTTCACTTCTCCATCCAAGGAGAGGAGAATGTTTCCGGCTTTCAAGTCTCTGTGGATGACCTTGTTTTCATGGAGGTAACACAGGGCCTCCAGGGTTTGCCTACACACCACACGGATCTGTGGCTCTGTCAGGGGCCGCTCCAGTTCTGTCGATAAACATTCGCACACATAATTAAAATATGTTGTTAGTGGGGCTTTTGAGATTTTTAGACACACAGACTGAGTCATTTGGATATATCAACATAAGATGTGATGGCCTGGTGGTATCCAATAGCAACTGGAGGACAAAACTCCACCCTGACACCAGCCAGCATGTATGACTGGACAAATCTGGGGGAAGAAAAGTGTTTTTCTAGGTGAGTCAGACCACAGAGCAGAATGTATCCACAGAGTGAATGAATTGGTACACATAAGAAAAAGTGGGAAGGTCTTCAAGGTTTGAGAAAGAGAAACTGAACGCATTAGAAGTGGACTAACCACTCCCTGAAATCTGAGCTACAATAATTACACAGTTAGAAAGGCTGCTTCAACTGGGGAGAGGGAAAAAAATCCCACAGAGGCTTCTGGATGGAATAAAAAGAGTTGGCACTCAACGATGGAGCAAAGATTTTTCTTAGCTCCAGTGCTTTATAATAATTTTCAGTTTCCTTCAATGAATGAGGGACTTACCCAGCATGATGGCATCCACCGCACCACCCGCACAGAACTCAATCAGAATCTGCAACAGTAAAACAAAACAAAGTGGAACAAAATGAATGTGTACTATAATGCAATGAAGTCAGTCAGTCAACTCCCTTTTACAGCACACAGTTTGCTTGAGGGAGGAACTTGTGTTATGCGAGGCAGACGAACAATACGACCTTTATAGGAAAGACATCAGACCCCTATTCAATGTTATTGATTAAGCTGTGGAAACATTCCAAGAAGCCAATCGATCAGTCACAAAAGAGGCACGGTGAGCTTCCTCTATAGACGTGTTCTTTTCCATTTCAGGACAATCTTTGTGTGTCGGTCTTTCTCGGCTACAAACGTCAGTAGAGATTGTAGTCGCAGGCTGGAGACAGTGACTGGGATCATCTCCTTATAGTTTCTTTAAGATGCACCTGTTCAGCAGGATGTTTAAGCATAAAGTGTGCAGAGCAGGTCGTGCTGGTTGGTCATCTTAATCTTTACAAAATAAAATCTTATTCTTTGTATGTGTGTGTCTGTGTATGACTCACATCCAGGATATTTCATCATATGTTCTGAAGAAAAATGATTTCCTCATTTGGGTAGCACCATACTGTCAATGCACTTCAGTATATTTAGGAGATAGATATGCAGTACAGTCAATTTCATTCTTACAGTGTAAGTCCTGCCACGTATACATACCTACACCATACTATTTATATTTGGGAAGCTGTGAAAGGAAATGTATGGATGAAATAAGCCAGGGAGTTGAAACCTAAACAATGTAAATTTACTTTAACACTACACAAGCTACGGTAAATGTTCAGACAAATAAATGTTCATTATGATGAAATGCTCAGCAGTGGTGCTTTGTACGAATCTTCTGACACGCTGCTGTCTGACAAAGGGATCCATGACTATGGATGCACCAGGTCACAGACCGTCCCCCACTACTGTCACTGAGATGTAAAACTGACCAGCTCCTGACCTCAGTTGTAATGGCTGATGTAATGTACCCGACCACCACTTCATCTTCACTGGCACTGCCAGTTGTTGGCAGCTTGAGGTTTCAGATGATAGACAAAAATCAATCAAAGCTACAACCGAGCACCACCCTCTATTCAGAAAGTGAAACAAACAGGACAAACCAAGCGGTTGTTCCTGCTCTGCATAACAATCTCTCCTGCCGTGGGAATCTCGCTTTTAATTTACGGTGTAGTGATTTTGACAGGTTTAACAAGTACGCACGGATTTAAATCTGCTGATCATAATATCAGGTTAAATTGAACATCATGCACGCAAATACATTACAAAAAAAAGAAACACATTATATATTAACTCAACCAAACACGGAGGCAGTTACACATTGATCATGCTGCTTTAAGACGAGGACCAGAGGGACAACCTGTATGCAGCTCTGAATTATTCACAGGCACTTTCTCCAGCCACCAAAGCCACTCCATTATCATCCCATAGATGTGGCCAGTCCACAAGGGACGGTCACATGACACCACCTGCCAGGACTTAATTGTTCTGGGGCCTCTTACTGCACACAGAATGAGATCTACTGACTCTGTATTAAACCTGCACTGTGACTCAACTCTCTGCTCACAGTGGAGTAGCTCGAGAAGGATGAAGCACTCTTTTAAAGATGTCACTGTAAAGAAACCGTGTTCACTGCTTAAGATTTGTGTGAGGTCAGATTGAGGATTCAGCTGGACGTCACAAGCTCCAGTTGTTATCAGAACATTTCTTAACCTACACTGCAGAAACATGATCCGTCTTTTTAAATGAAATGATGTGAAATCTATAATAGGTCGGTTGTTTTTGTATTATGACCTGTGACTTCTTCCAGCCTCGTACCGGCCTCCGACTGTGTCACATGGTTGGTTTTAAACTCTTAAAATGTTGGCGACGTGGAAAAATGCACTGCTATTATCCTTTAATGGAACGACACAAGAGTCCTTTGAGAAACAGCATAACGAACACTGGCTTGTGATGAATTTGTGTGTCTCCGTGCGTGACTAGTTCACTGCCTCGGTGTCTCTTTGGCTTCAAATCAAAAGCAACACAACACATGAGGGGGGGGAGAAAAAACAAACAAAACTGTTCTCTCTGCCAAGCACTTGCTCACTTACCCAAAGTTTGCCTTCGAAATAGAAAGCATCCAGCAGTTTGACGATATGATGGTGGTCGCAGGAGGCCAGAATGTCGATCTCGACCATGTAATCCTCCAATTCATCCTCCGTCTTTGTGTCGATAACCTTGGCTGCAGCCAGGGTCCCATTCTGCTTGTTCTGAGCCTGAAAGCAACATTGATGTCAAAAATAGGAAAGCCATTATATTCTCATGACGCACGACATATAAATTAGGAAAGAAAGTACATTTTCTGAAACTGCTGGCTCGGTTTACTTTGCTAAAGGCAGTGCAGTGAAGTGGCTATTGTGGAATAACATCCATCATCATCACAAATGTCATTTAATACAAAAGCCATTTTGAAACTAGAGCAATAAATACTGGAACACCTCATGGCTTGTTTAGGTCAAAGCAATCTCTATAAATACATTTCCCAGAGACTTTACAATAACACCTTATTATATACTGAAAGGGAAAATTAGAAAGAGAAAAAAAAACACCACACAGCACACGTCTAAAGTCTGAATATTTACAATACGCCTCGTCATTTTCTGACCTCTAACAGTAGCTGATCTTGTCAACCTTTCTCACTGCCTCCTCTTCCTTCTTTCATTCAGCTACTGTAATGTCAAATGTGAAGTAACAGTGGGAATAACTTATACCAAAAACATCTAGGATTTAATGGATTTCTGATTAGGGAAACAGATTTGAATCATCTAAATCTAAGGCTGTACTGAAGAGACTAATTCCCACACACTCTGTCAAACAAGGAGCTGAGAAGTTATTTTAAGGCCAGCTTTGGACTTAATGTTTATGGTTACAGACACAATCTGAGGGAGTTAAGGAAAAAGAAAAGGGAGGGAGTGTTAGGACAAACTGTTGCCGAGTGTGTCACACCCTATATTTACACAGTTCTGACCCGACACACTCCCTGTGTGTTCGGCCGGGTCGATGCCTGTCTAACGCAGGCCGACACTAACACACGTGCAGTTTCAGTATTAGCTTCATGATGGAGAGGGCAGAGATAACCGGTCTGTCGTTGAGCTATTCAAATGTGGCCTTCAGTCACTATGTACGTGACATTTTACACTGAACTCTACATACTGGCCTGGTTTGAGGGAATAAACGAGAGTTTTGTGGGTGTCATATTAACAAATCCAACAATCTAACACATCATTTTACCCTCACTTTCATCTGAATGTGAATAGATCATATTAAGCATACATCTCACACCACTCCAGCTGTATTGAATAGGCAGAACATAATTTAAAGACGTGCATGCCAATCTAAATATGTGAACCGACGGGCTGTGCGAACACAATTATGTAAGCTGTTTGTTTGATGTCCAAAAAAAATAAAAAAAGACACGCCTCTTCGATGCAAAGCTATGTTGATGTGTTGTTGTGTATTTAAGACTCTTCTCTCTTTCAGCCTCTTAAACAGCTGGTTCACACGATGCTGCCAATCTTTGTCACCCCACCCAACTGAGGCAGCCATCAAACGCCTGTGAAATAACTGATGAAATACGTAGAGTCTGTGTTGACAGTGACGTGACCTCATGAAGGCAACTCGTACAAACTCCAACCAAAGTGCACACGGGTTTACAGTTTTAGTCTGAGGAGGCCCGAAAGTCTTCTGGCTTTCATCACCGTTAGTTAATCAGCTAATAAGACTTGGAAACTGGCAAATGAAGATTTCAGGGCCATTAGCTGCATTATTTAATCACAAGATTTCCAGGAAGGGACAGCATAAGTCACACAGAGAGAGAAATCTGTTCATCTGAGGTTACTGCGATAAAAGAGTGCCAGACTGACCTTTATGTGAAACTAAACTACTAGACGGCCTACATTTCTTCTCTAATAATTGTCTGTTTGATTTGTATTATTACTTTATTCCTTATTCTTTCTTAAAAAGTTGTTGTATTAAAATGATGTGTATGAGCAGAGGTTTTAGTTATGTGGGCGGCTGAGCTGAGTTTCTCTCATGTTGCTGACCTTTCCAAAGGGTGTTTCTCAGTCCAAGATAACCTGCAGACGTACGTCAGGTGGCGGCGATTACAGCTAGTGGATACAAAACCACAAACACCTCACAACTGTAGCGTTCAGAGATAAACGCAGGAGCAAACAACCCCTCTCTGGCACTGTGACGCTATAAAAAGTGAACATTAAAAGCTCCGCAAGCATTGTTTTGAGGGCAATTCATTAAATTTGCATTGTACAGTACTGCTGTTGCGGGTATTGTGTCCACCTCATTTATAATGTACAGTGTGTGTTGGCAAAACAAATATAGCATCCACTTAAAAGTGACAAACCATCACACTACTACACCACTATTTACATACACACCTGGGATAAACAAACCTGCCCTTGACTTTGTAAACAAAGTCCCTTTCTACTGTTTCTCTGAGGGACACATTGGACTTTAAGGACACCTGCTCTCAGGGTGTGTTTAATGTTTATATTGTGTCTCATCTGATCTCTCGTAGGTTATTCTGTGGAAGTGAACCACACCTTCACCAGTTTGACTGAGGCCAACTCAATGACAGCACAAAGTCATTTTGTTGACCTGACAGTGTTAACAGGGCCTTCCTTAAACCTCCAAAATGGGGAAATGCCCCTGACACACTCAACGAGGGTTAGAGTTCAAGCAGTCACTAAACACAGCCCTGAGGTTTACGTTTCTTTACACATCCTCAACAGGAAGGTGTTCGCATGCAGGTGACATGTAAAAGTACAGTATGAGCTGACATAGCACGGAGTTGAAGCGAAAAAAAAATGCACATTACTCAGGGTTTAGTGGCCTAGAAAAGGTTAGCCTGAGCGAGGTTTGTGCTATCACTGCTGTCACTTTGACGTTATATGACCAACATGAGACACAATGGAAGCGAGTGACTCTTAAAAAATAGGTTAGAAACCCACAAGGCGGATGTAATACAATAATTAGTTATTACCTTAAACACTTTCCCGAACGCCCCATCTCCCAGTTCCCCAATGATGTCCCAGATCTCCTCCGGGTTAACGTCTCTGTGTACATGTTCATACTGCTTCTTCTTCTTATCAGGCCCCAACTTGAAGATCTTCCGAAAATTGAAGAAAGACATCTTTTTTTTTATTATTATTGTCGGACGTGAACTACAGTGCCGTTGTATGCGGTCTGTCTTCTGTTATTTCCGCCAAGAAAAATATATAGCGGTTCCTCCCGACGCGGAGCTCAAAAGGCTAGCGAAAATAACAGCATGCGGCCGGTAAATGAAGGCAGACGAGCCGCTTTTTTATCCATTCAGCTGTGATAATGGCAATTATAACTTCCCTCGACGGTAGTTATTCATAATCACATCACAGCTAGCAGCTCACAGGACGCTGTTTCGGGGAGGTGAGGGATACGGAGAAGAGTTCGCCGTTTACGCACAGGCTGGTTGTACCGTTTTTTAACAAAAAAATCAAACAGCAAAATGTCGATCATGTCATCACACTCGATACTGCATTTTTCATCATTTAGATAGCGTTAGCGGGTGAAAAACGAGGAGTCAAAGGACCCCATGCTTCGGTTGGCTGACCACACAGAAGTTAGCGGACTAGCGTCAAGCTAACTGACGCGGTAATGCGGACTTCCGTTAAGAAACGTTCAAAATAAAACCGTTACTAACCGACGGTCGCGCAAAACAGTTTTTAAGTCAGTGAACTGAGCAAAAGAGAAAATGTACAATACACCAATGCGGCAAACAGGCAAACAGCGTGATAGTAGACGTCTTTTGTGTTATTTTGTGAATGATAATAAATAATAAATGGAGAAATCTCGCTATCTTTGATGTATGAGGAGTAACCGTTAGTAACAGCGTAACGTTACGTTAAACAGACGTAACGTTAACGCTACGACGGAACGTGAGCATCATTAGCTGTAACGTTATATGGCCAGAATTGCGTGTGTGTGTTTTGACTAGGTCGGGTTTGTCTTGCTGTTAACTGAATGCGTTTACTTCGGAGACTGGATGCGGATTACTTCCGCTGCCAGCGGCTCTGTTAGTGGTGTGCTTGACGCAGTTGGTTAGCTGTATCTGTTTCCTGAGTCTGCTCGGCAGGACGTGCTCAGGGCTCAGCCCCTCGGCCGCACCACGCATGCTACTTAATGTGTGCTCCTGTCGTCATGAGCAGGGAAACAAATGGTACAAGTTGTTGTTGTTAACCTTTTAGCACCATTTCAGGCCCACATTGTGTTATTAGGAGTCAGATTATGAGACTATAAGTGATCAGGTAATTCAGTAGTCATAAGATGAGTCTGTTAGTTGGCCTTTTGTTTTCATAATTGTCAAAACACTGTCAGAACAATGTAACCTACCTCAAGGTACCATAAGGGTTCTTGTTGCTCATTATATTACGTTATTATTCATATTGTATGACACTATTGGATCGTGAATTATTGTACAATTCAACAGGCTCACTGACTTTTAGTTTTGGTGGATTTCATCTGGAACTAGTAGTAAATCATTTGTCAAGTTATAAGTTCAGAACTGTATTCAGATCCTTAAGTAAAAGTAGAAATACTGTACAATACAAAAACTCCATTATAATCAAGTTTTGCAATACAAATGTACAATTTAAAAGTACTGAAGTGTCATCTGCAAAATGTAATGTAAAGTATCAAAAATAAATGTGATCATTATGTAAAACGCTCGCTCTTAGTGTGTTATATCTTAATACTGTTGGATAATTTTACAGATTCACTGTCTTCACATGTAAGACACATTTTAGTGTTTTTAGTTTTTTATTCTTATCAGAATCAGCTTTATTGGCTAAGTTGCTCTCAGTGACACAGAAAAAGACATTTAATAAAATCAACAAAGGAACACATAAACATTTAACTATTGTGTGCATACAAGTAGGAGAATATGAAAAAGCAACAATGAACAACAGCATACAATGTCTGTTACAAGTCAGACTGTTTTTGTAAATCATAATTGAAATAATCATTGAATGATTATTGTAATAGGTCACTTTATATACATGAAGTCTGTGGTTATGACAGTCTATGAATGTATACATGTTATATATATATATACAGCTTACTTAGATTATATTTGTCAATGATATATACATACTTTATAAACCGTTTTTGTACAAAATAATCACATTTTACAGGCTGATCACAGAATCTGAAAAATTAGAAACTATAGATGTCAATTAAATTGAATGATGTTAAGAAGTAAAATATGTATTTTTGTATTGTAGTGGAATAGGAGTCTAAAGTGGCATTAAATAAATGAACGTTGTACCCCATCAACGCAGAGGTCAAATAACTATAATAAAACAAACTCACCACTCGTTCACATCAATGAGATCAAGTTGTGCAGCGCCCCCGTGTGGGGAGATGAACTAAGTGTTCCTCTCCTCTTCGCCTCCTCCACTAGGAGGGAGCAAAGTCATTTGCCATATGCTGAGTTTAAGTGCTGTCGGAAATCCTATCCCGACTTTGAAATTAACGACAAAGTAAAAGGTAACAGTCATATGGGATTGCAATTGTCGGCTAAAACAAATGTGAGCTTTGTGGAAGGTATAAAGCAGCAACACTACTAAATATTCTATTTCCCATCTAGTTTTATTTTGTTTTTTTGCAAATAAAAACACGCTTTTCATCGTGCATGTCAAAAACTTTCCTCCAAACTCTCAATAGTTTATCAGAACAGGAGTTTGGTACAATGTTACACAAACAACAAACAGTCTTCACTTCTTCAGAGGTGCATTGTGTCCAGCCAGCTGAAGCAGCACCGCCCCGTACATTGATTTCCACGGCCCCTCCTGAGCGTACTGTGCAGTCCAGCCCCTCTTGAGGGAGGAGATCACTGGTCAATCGCCAGTTTTACTGCGTTGTCATGTTTCAGAAGGAGTTCAGAAGCTCCGACACCGCCTGACACCATCATTTCATGGATGCACCCAAAGCCTGAGTGCAGAGAGACTCTCTCCCCCCCCCCCCCCCCACTCCTCACTTTCTACCAACTTTTGCTCACCTCACTCACCAGTCTCCCTCACCAGGCAGTCCCCTCATGGTTTTTCATACTCTATACTGTTTTCATGGGTGAGCATCTCCTTTTGTAGGC